GATAAAAGACCAAGTCCATATTATGTCAAGAACAGCTCAAATAAGCAAAGAGAAACGACAGTCCGTCATTACCTTAAGACATGAAGGTCAGTCAATACGGAACATTTCAAGAACTTTGAAAGTTTCTTCAAGTGCAGTTGCAAAAACCATCAAGCGCTGTGATGAAACTGTCTCTCATGACGACCGCCAAAGGAATGGAAGACCCAGAGTTACCTCTGCTGCAGAGGATAAGTTAATTAGAGTTACCAGCCTCAGAAATTGCAGCCCAAATAAATGCTTCACAGAGTTCAAGTAACAGACACATCTCAACATCAACTGTTCAGGGGAGACTGTGTGAATCAGGCCTTCATGGTCAAATTGCTGCAAAGAAACCACTACTAAAGGACACCAATAAGAAGAAGAGACTTGCTTGGGGAAAGAAACACGAGCAATGGACATTAGACTGGTGCAAATTTCTCCTTTGGTCTGGAGTCCAAATTTGAGATTTTTGGTTCCAACCGCTGTGTCTTTGTGAGATGCGGTGAGGATGAACGGATGATCTTCGCATGTGTATTTCCCACCGTGAAGCATGGAGGAGGAGGTGTTATGGTGTGGGGGTGCTTTGCTGGTGACACTGTCTGTGATTTATTTAGAATTCAAGGCACACTTAACCAGCATGGCTACCACAGCGTTCTGTAGCGATACGCCATCCCATCTGGTTTGCGCTTAGTGGGACTATCATTTGTTTTTCAACAGGACAATGACCCAACACACCTCCAGGCTGTTTAAGGGCTATTTGACCAAGAAGGAGAGTGATGGAGTGCTGCATCAGATGACCTGACCTCCACAATCCCCCGACCTCAACCAAATTGAGATCATTTGGGATGAGTCGGACAGCAGAGTGAAGGAAAAGCAGCCAAGAGGTGCTCAGCATATGTGGGAACTCCTTCAAGACTGTTGGAAAATCATTCCAACTGAAGCTGATTGAGAGAATTCCAAGAGTCTGTCATCAAGGCAAAGGGTGGCTATTTGAAGAATGTCAAATATAAAATATATTTTGATTTGTTTAACACTTTTTTGGTTACTATATGATTCTATATGTGTTATTTAATAGTTTCGATGTCTTCACGATTATTATACAATGTAGAATATAGTTTAAATAAAGAAAAACCCTTGAATGAGTAGGTGTTCTTAAATTTTTGACCGGTAGTGTATATCCTTCTCACCATTTCTCTGTCCATGGTAGGTGTACAGGTAATTCTTTACCACTAGGTGGAGGCATTTTTACATTTAAGTCATTTAGCAGACGCTCTTATCCAGAGCGATTTACAAATTGGTGCATTCAATTTAAGATAGCCAGTGGGACAACCACTCCCTTTTATATTTTATTTTATTGTGGTGGGGGAGGGGTGGGTGGGGGGGGAGGTGGTGGGGGGGGGGGGGGGGGGGTAGAAGGATTACTATTATACTATTTCAGGTATTCCTTAAAGAGGTAGGCTTTCAAGTGTCTCCGGAAGGTGGTCAGTGACTCCGCTGTCCTGGCGTCGTGGGGGAGCTTGTTCCACGATTGGGGTGCCAGAGCAGCGAATAACTTTGACTGGGCTGAGCGGGAACTGTGCTTCCATAGAGGTAGGGGGGCTAGCAGGCCAGAGGTGGATGAAGGTAGTGCCCTCGTTTGGGTGTAGGGTCTGATCAGAGCCTGAAGGTAAGGAGGTGCCGTTCCCCTCACAGCTCCGTAGGCAAGCACCATGGTTTTGTAGTAGATGCGAGCTTCAACTGGAAGCCAGTGGAGTGTGCGGAGGAGCGGGGTGACATGAGAGAACTTGGGAAGGTTGAACACCAGACGGGCTGCAGCATTCTGGATAAGTTGTAGGGGTTTAACCCTCCCGTTGTCCTAGGGTCAAAATGACCCGCCACTGTGTTGAACCAACTTTATTTAATTTTTATATTTTTGGGATCATTTGTGAGAAGGAGGCAGTGAGACTTTAAAGAAAGTATCACTGCCTCCTTCTCACAAATGATCCAAAAAATATAAAAATTAAATAAAGTTGGTTCAACACAGTGGCGGGTCATTTTGACCCTAGGACAACGGGAGGGTTAATGGCACAGGCAGGGAGCCCAGCCAGCATCGTTACATCATTGCAATAGATGGATTTGTGAGCAACTTGTATGCACGACTAATCACCTGAAACCCAAACTTGAGTATAGTTTCACTATTGTTTTCAGGTATTCAGATTTCAGGCTACACAATTTATGCCTTTTAGCTACAATTCATTTCACAATGGAAAATCATGTATGTTTCTCCACCTTATATCTATTTTTCTTTCTTTCTCCTCTCTAGACAGCTATGCCTCAATTCCAGTGACATGCAGTCAGGGTAGGCAGGGTAGGCAGTGCAGGCACTGCTTACCCTGTGATTGTCTAATTAAAAATCTGATTATGGTGGTTTTTATACTCAACATTTCAAAATTGGCTAAAACGGCATCAAAACGAGCGAGGCCGTTCCCATACAGTCACTGTTTGGATAGGGTCAGCATAGGCCTCGCTGCTTTGCCTATAGCTTAATTTATGCATTGAGACGATTTCCTATTTTGCACATAAGTATTGACTCATCATATTGTGTGGGTAAACCTGGGGTAGACTCTGCACATGTGGGCGTGTTTACATAATTTGGCGCTCGCATCCCTTAAACTGAACGAATCTAGTTGGCAAGCAAAAACAACCTGACCAATGAACACCTAAAACAATTTTCCAAGTTGGATTTTGAAGGAAAACTTGGTATAGTTCAGAGAGGGAGACCAACATCGGCGTTTCCTGACCTTCATCCGAGGAAGGGACAGAAAAAGATCCGATCAAATGAACCACACTCAGCCTGACAGACACTGAAACCTGAAGCAGACAGATGTTTAGCGATGAGATTATTTTTTTACAAAATGTTTGACAATATCAGTGTTCAAATGAAAGACAGGTTTGATCATTTTGTCATCCTTGGCCCTACAAGGATGAGAAGAGGGGTTCACCCTGAAGAACAGACGAATAGAGGCCCAAATGCATTTTCCTTTGCAATTTGTGGGTTAGGCTACTGTTGAATGAATATGAGAATAGACAATATCCCTTTGATGCATTTGATTTATTAAGGTAGAATTTAATTTTGATGAGATACATGTTTTACATTTTGAACTGCATTTTTCAGTCATTTCGAGTATTGATATGGAGATTTTGTTAGAACCATATTTATTATATACAGTAGGTGTGTGTAATAATATTTCACATAATAATATTATTATGTGGTGTGTGTTTGCACGCGCAGCACGCTGTGCTTGGGAAGATTTGTACATCCATTGTGAAAGGCTATGGAGTTTGCGTTGCAAATTATTCGGATGAAATGTGTCCATATGTTGGTATTTTAGTGCAACCTATCAGTTGTAATTCGGTCTATGGCTGAGCTGAGTTGATCAGTGTGTCATTTTGTTGGACGATATGAAATATGCCACCATCGGAGGCTATCCTTGTGTATCGTGGCTACATTAGTATTTACATTTGAGGATTTTGTTGTTGTTGTCAATTTCGGTTAATAGCTTATGTCACTCTGGTTGTTGGAGTTATCTGTTGTATGGTGATTTTTGCTTCATCAAAGTTTATTTGTGAGTAAATCTGGCTTTAATAACAGCCAGTTCCTACCCAGCCACTGACCTCACCTCACGTCACTGCTCAATTCCATCCAAATGTGTACACGTTTATTATTGTATAACCAGGTCAAGCCAGGTGATATCTAACAAATAATTATACTAAAAATGTATGTTCACACACGAGTCATTTCTCAGAATCAGATTTTAAAAATTAGGATTTAGAGAAGAAACAGTCTTGGTTGAATAGTAGGCCTAAGTATGTTCAAAAGGTTGTAGTGGATGCTAGCTAGCATTTTGAAAGTCCATATTTCACAGATTTAACCAATGGGTTATCTCAAATGTAATGCCCTTATGATTATTTGTCAAATTTATCCTGTAACAAATATGTAACAATATGTTAATATTAGTATGAGCATGTTAGATATTCGATCACAATGGAAATTCATCCTAAAAGCACCAACATATGTGTATCTTAAAAGCTCCTACGGGGGTCATTCCTGACCCCAAATTGGTAATGATTGCATTTGTAAATGCTGAATATAATACATTAGATGCATAAATGTATTTGTCATTTATTTGTCAACAGTGCATTCGTTTAATTCAAATAGTAGGCTATAACAATAACAATCCATCTGTATTAATAACAGTATATTACGGTGTATAATGACAAAAAACAATATAATAAAACACCTAATTTGTCATAAAGAGGTCAAACACAATTTTGGGCGATTGTAGTCCCAAAAGGTCTCTCACGCTGTATAAAATCCCTATAGGATTTGCGATATGCTGCATAGCATAAACATTTAGCCTACCCTTGAATAAGAATGAACCCAAACAGTTTATTGACTTGCTGCAGCGAAATCTTTCGAAAACTCAAGGGATTAGATTTAAGTGCAAATAGGTGAAGATAAATCAAGGTGAATGTGCATGTATTTTTCATTAAACACATTTCACGTGGTTTTATTGCATTTTATCCGTGTCGATCACTTATACTCAAACACTAGCCTACAATATGAATGAAATGACACAATTTGCATACTCCTGAATGCATCATGGCATGGTGACAGAGTTTCAACTATATCCAAGAGCTTTTCTGAGCCGTCCTTGATGGCAATAGGCTACATGTATGCAGTTTTTCCATTTTTACGTCGTGCACTCAGTCCCAAAGTTTTTCATTTCTCCGGGAAGGTGTCGTGGCATGGAAGTTCTCACAGAGTGACTGACATTTTGTATATAGCCTACATCCCCCCATTTAATCTTAAACGTTTTTTTTTTTTTTTTACAGGTATTGGCATCTGGGACAAATGACTAGGAAGTTTATGGCTTGTATATAGTAGTTGTATAGTTGATGTGATCCTCATCCAAGATGGCAGTGGTCTTAATGCGTTGATTTTACAAGATGCATGGCTTGACATCCTGACAGACGCTCTGGTGATGGTGATGTAGCTGGTGGTAGTACGATCCACTGGCAGTTGGCGGGTGGAATGAAGAGATTCCGTTAAAGTTCAAAACAAAATCTTTCCTGTCACACACTGGCGATGAATGGCTTGAGTATCGGGATAATCCCACTGCAAACAGATGGAAGAGACGTGACAGTCAAACACAAAGCTTTTAAAATACAAAACCAACTTGTTCTAATACAAAAAATGTATGAACTCCATGGCGCATGTGTGTAGGCCTATACGCGCCAATATATGGACGTTGTATTTATCCAAATGGAATATACTCCAATTATTTTTCTTAAATGGTAGGCTACATTTATCGTAAAACAAATGCATGCAGATCATTTAGAGCATACATGCAAAATACAAATGAATTCATGAAACATATACAGTACCAGTCAAAGGTTTGGACACACATACTCATTCAAGGGTTTTTCTTTATTTTTACTATTTTCTACATTGTAGAATAATAGTGAAGACATCAAAACTATGACATAGCACATATGGAATCATGTAATAACCAAAAAAGTGTTAAACAAATCAAAATATATTCTATATTTGAGATTCTTCAAAGTAGCCACCCTATGCCTTGATGACAGCTTTGCACACTCTTCACATTCTCTCAACCAGCTTCAGGAGGTAGTCACCTGGAATGCATTTCAATTAACAGGTGTGCCTTCTTAAAAGTTAATTTGTGGAATTTATTTCCTTCTTAATGCATTTGAGCCAATCAGTTGTGTTGTGACAAGGTAGGGGGGTATACAGAAGATAGCCCTATTTGGTAAAAGACCAAGTCCATATTATGGCAAGAACAGCTCAAATAAGCAAAGAGAAACGACATTCCATCATTACTTTAGGACATGAAGGTCAGTCAATCCGGAAACTTTCAAGAACTTTGAACGTTTCTTCAAGTGCAGTCGGAAAAACCATCAAGCGCTATGATGAAACTGGTTCTCATGAGGACCGCCACAGGAAGGGAAGACCCAGAGTTACCTCTGCTGCAGAAGATAAGATCATTAGAGTTAACTGCACCTCAGATTGCAGCCCAAATAAATGCTTCACAGAGTTCAAGTAACAGACACATGTAAACATCAACTGTTCAGAGAAGACTGTGTGAATCAGGCCTTCATGGTCGAATTGCTGCAAAGAAACCACTACTAAAGGACACCAATAAGAAGAGACTTGCTTGAGCAAAGGACATTATGAGTCCACATTTGAGATTTTTGGTTCCAACCACTGTGTCTTTGTGAGACGCAGAGTAGGTGAACGGATGATCTCTGCATGTATGGTTCTCACCGTGAAGCATGGAGGAGGATGTGTGATGGTGTGGGGGAGCATTGCTGGTGACACTGTCTGTGATTTATTTAGAATTCAAGGCACACTTTACTAGCATGGCTACCACAGCATTCTGCAGCGATACGCCATCCCATCTGGTTTGCACTTAGTGGGACTATCATTTGTTTTTCAACAGGACAATGACCTAAAACACACCTCCAGGCTGTGTAAGGGCTATTTGACCAAGAAGGAGAGAGATGGAGTGCTGCATCAGATTACTTGGCCTCCACAATTACCCGACCTCAACCCAATTGAGATGGTTTAGGATGAGTTGGACCGCAGAGTGAAGGAAAAGCAGCCAACAAGTGCTCAGCATATGTGGGAACTCCTTCAAGACTGTTGGAAAAGCATTCCTCATGAAGCTGGTTGTGAGAATGCCAAGAGTGTGCAAAGCTGTCATCAAGGCAAAGCGTGGCTACTTTGAAGAATCTCAAATAGAAAATATATTTTGATTTGTTTAACACTTTTTTTGGTTACTACATGATTCCGTATGTGTTATTTCATAGTTTTGATGTCTTCACTATTATTCTACAATGTAGAAAATAGTAAAAATAAAGAAAAACCCTTGAATGAGTAGGTGTGTCCAAAATTTGACTGGTACTGTAGATATATATATATAGGCTACATCACTTTTACAATGTGAAAATAATAGACCATTTTGTAAATATAAGGCTATAATTTCCAAATGTTTTGAATGTTCTCCTGGAAATGTGTCCTTGATATTTGTCATTAATACTTTGCTTTCTATTTAGTGTTGAATTATTTTCGAAACAGCAGTTGTATTTCTAATTAAACTATTTCATTCAGTAATATTATTGTTAGCATTTATGTGTTTTCTTATGGAGACCATTGCGCACAAAGGTCACAGGCAGTTCTATCTTCACAATGCCCAGAATAAACCATATTTATGGATAGGGAAACATAATTGGGTGTTGACATATTATTGTCATGCCACATATTGGTGTTTGGCGCATTTTCAATTAGGCCTATAGCCTTGAAAATAAAATCTAGGCTACAGTTTTTGGCCTTACTGCTATTAGCCCATACAAACACATCGAATAACAGCTTCAGTACATGGAACAACAGATAGTCCCCCCAAAACAATCAAAAGGAAGTTTGTATATTTCTGTGTATTATTATACACATAATTAGGTGTTGACAAATTATTGTCATGCCACATATCGGTGTTTGTAACTCGGTCTATGGCTGAGCTGGCCTATAGCCTTGAAAATAAAATCTAGGCTACAGTTTTTTTTAACTTCCTTGAGAATTATTATGTTAATCTTGGCAGTAGAATTTGCTTTAATATTAAAATTACTTAATTATTTATGTTTTTAGTTATATTGTCATAGTTCTACAATTGTATTTTATTCATAAATGGACAAGCAGAACAATGTCAGTGTTGCCTAACTAGTCCCAATGTCCTCTTCCCTATGATTCGCAATCAGCAACTGCCCATCTCGACTAGGCCTACTTCCAAATAAAATAGTAGATATAAATACGCACTATTTAATGCAAACTTTACATCAGAGCAGAATATTTATTAATGGGTTGCATATGTTATAATTGGCCATATAGTGTGCCCATGCAATTAAAGATTGTGTTTGCCTATTAGGAAAGTAAACAGGCCTACTTGAAATATCAGATGAGTCTCTTCCGTTGTGATGGAGATAGCTTTGCTCCAGAGAGTAAGGGGATATGCTCGAGTGCAAGGCGGAGGATGTGGGACTGTTTGAGGCCAGGGATTGCTGCTTGATGTATGGGGAGACACCTGGTGATGCCCAGTGTGAGGGGGCACTGGCATAGGGAGAGTGACAGTCCAAGGTGCCTGCTGCCATCGCCGCCGGCGAGGAGTGCAGAGGGCTACTACTGTTGTCTGGGCAGTATTCTCCATTAGAGGACACTTGACAGGCCGCCATGTAGGTGGACCCGGGGCTTGGCGACATGTGAGGAACATGATGCCCTCCACCCAGCCCGTCGTAGCTCCCTGGCACCGTGTTCCCCATCACGTCCAAGTTGTAACCATTATGACATGCCAAGGACGCGGAGGGGTTCTGGAAATCGAAGTTTTGGGGCAGTATCGACGTGCCAAAGCCGATGCCATTCATCATTCGATACATGGGTTTCAGTGCTTGGCATTTCCTACGGAATCCGCGAGGTCTGCGACGGAAGGACCCCTCTTCGAACATAAACTCGCTGCCCGGGTCTATGGTCCAGTAGTGTCCCTTGCCTGGTCTGCCGAGTCCCTTGGGCAGTTTTATGAAGCATTCGTTTAGAGACAGGTTGTGCCTCACAGAGTTTTTCCATCCCTGGTAAGAACCCCTAAAGAACGGGAAACGGGCCTGAAGGAACTGATAGATTTCAGCCAGAGTAAGCCTCTTTGTCGGGGAGCTTTGGATAGCCATTACAATAAGGGCGATGTATGAATAGGGCGGCTTCTCAGGACGCCTCAAGCCAGAGTTGCCCTTTTTCCCTTTGGTTGACCCGTTTGGTGAGCTCTCCGCCACTGGCTGTGCGCTCATCAGAGTGGCGTGCATTACTCCGGCTGCTGGGCTGGATCTCAGAGGATGAGACGACTCCAGATGTTGCTGTGAGTTCTCAGTTGTCATGTTTGCGCCCAAATTAGAGATGGGACACAGAGGAGTATCTGTAGCCTATAACCAAGAGTATGACCAATGCTTTACTCGACTCTTTTTGTACTGACCTGAAATGTCTAATGAGAGCAGTATCCTACACCCAATACCTCAGTCAATTAGTCAGCATAACTCCTTCAGACGTTCTAAAAAGATGTTTCCAAATGTGATAATTGGAGAGGTTAGTGTCCAGTGGCGATTCACTGCGCGTTTATTGCTGTTCTAATCAGGAACCCCAGCTGAGTATCGGTGTGACAGCTGCTCCTCCTCCGTCTCACTGTGGCCATCGCTGGCAATGATCCTTTAAGAGGGGAAACATAAAGCTCCTCGACTTTCTTGCGCATATCCACTCGGCCAAACAAAACTCGACCACCTATCAATTCTTAAATCTCTCTCTGCCCCCTAGATCCCGGCTAAATCCCTCCAAGAAATCGCCAGGAACTCGAGACCCACCCCCTCCCAGATCTGGCCCCGGTCCAAACATAATTCTAGCAAGAGGCACACATACACATCACAGCACAGCGTAGAAGACTAACAGAGACCTCCTCCCACCCACTCCTCACAACTCTAATACACGCAATTACACCATTTATCAAACTCATTTAGACACTCAAGTCAACAGTGCAACACGCCAAACGATGAAGGCAATGGTTCCAAATTAACCATGACACTTGCTTATATATGAGTGAGACATAAACACAACGTAGGCCTGTTCTATTTAGTAGAATTCTAGTTTTAGGTATATTTATACAGTACCAGTCAAAAGTTTGGACACACCTACTCATTTAAGGGTTTTTCTTTTTTTTTACTGTTTTCTACTTTGTAGAATAATAGTGAAGACATCAAAACTATGAAATAACACATATGGAATCATGTAGTAACCATAAAAGTGTTAAACAAATCAAAATCTATTTTATATTTGAGATTCTTCAAAGTAGCCACCATTTGCCTTGATGACAGCTTTGCACACTCTTGGCATTCTCTCAACCAGCTTCACGAGGTAGTCACCTGGAATGCATTTCAATTAACAGGTGTGCCTTGTTAAAAGTTAATTTGTGGAATTTCTCCCCTTCTTAATACGTTTGAGCCAATCAGTTGTGTTGTGACAAGGTAGGGGTGGTATACAGAAGATAGCCCTATTTGCTAAAAGACCAAGTCCATATTATGGCAAGAACAGCTCAAATAAGCAAAGAGAAACGACAGTCCATCATTACCTTAAGACATGAAGGTCAGTCAATATGGAACATTTCAAGAACTTTAAAAGTTTATTCAAGTGGAGTCGCAAAAACCATCAAGTGCTCTGATGAAACTGGCTCTCATGAGGACCGCCACAGCAATGGAAGACCCAGATTTACCTCTGCTGTAGAGGATGAGTTCATTAGAGTTAACTGCACCTCAGATTGCAGCCCAAATAAATACTTCACAGAGTTCAAGGAACAGACACATCTCAACATCAACTTTTCAGAAGAGACTGCGTGAATCAGGCCTTCATGGTCGAATTGCTGCAAAGAAACCACTAATAAAAGGACACCAATAAGAAGAAGAGACTTTGGACATTGGACATTAGACCGGTGGAAATCTGTCCTTTGGTCTGATGAGTCTTCATTTGAGATTTTTGGTTCCAACCGCCATGTCTTTGGGAGATGCAGAGTAGGTGAATGGATGATCTCCACATGTGTGGTTCCCACCGTGAAGCATGGAGGAGGAGGTGTGATGGTGTGGGGGTTCTTTGCTGGTGACACTTTCTGTGATTTAGAATTCAAGGCACACTTTTTTATTTTTTTATTTTTTATTTCACCTTTATTTAACCAGGTAAACCAGTTGAGAACAAGTTCTCATTTACAACTGCGACCTGGCCAAGATAAAGCAAAGCAGTGCGATAAAAACAACAACAGAGAGTTACATATGGGGTAAAACAAAACAAAGTCAAAAATACAACAGAAATACATATAATATACAGTGTGTGCAAATTTAGCAAGTTATGGAGGTAAGGCAATAAAATAGGCTATAGTGCAAAATAATTACAATTAGTATTAACACTGGAATGATAGATGTGCAAGAGATGATGTGCAAATAGAGATACTGGGGTACAAATGAGCAAAATAAATAACAATACAGGGATGAGGTAGTTGGGCGGGCTAATTTCAGATGGGCTGTGTACAGGTGCAGTGATCGGTAAGGTGCTCTGACAACTGACGCTTAACCAGCATGGCTACCACAGCATTCTGCAGTGATATGCCATCCCATTTGGTTTGCGCTTAGTGGGACTATCATTTAATTTTCAACAGGACAATGACCCAAAACACACCTCCAGGCTGTGTAAGGGCTATTTGACCAAGGAGTATGATGGAGTGCTGCATCAGATGACCTGGCCTCCACAATCATCCGACCTCACCCCAATTGAGATGGTTTGGGAGTGAAGGAAAAGCAGCTAACAAGTGCTCAGCATATGTGGAAACTCCTTCAAGACTGTTTGAAAAGCATTCCTCATGAAGCTGGTTGAGCGAATGCCAAGGCTGTGCAAGCTGTCATCAAGGCAAAGGGTGGCTACTTTGAAGAGTTTTAAATCTAAAACATATTTTGATTTATTTAACACTTTTTTGGTTACTACATGATTCTATATGTGTTATTTCATAGTTTTGATGTCTTCACTATTATTCTACAATGTAGAAAATAGTAAAAATAATGAAAACCCCTTGAATGAGTAGGTGTGTCCAAACCTTTGACTGGTGCTGTATATTTATATATACAGGCCATGATGTATACAGCCTATGATGTACTTGAGGATGGAAAAAATCAATGGAGATTAGATAACTAAAGATAACGGTATTATGCTGAATAGTCAGCGCTTCTTAGAGCTTGTGGTTTTGTCTAGCAGAGGTAATGGAGAAATAACAGTCCATAGTTGTCGTGTTCATTTGTTGGGGGCAGTTCAGGATAGTACTTTGACACGAGTGGAAACATGATTTTTCCATCAGGCGCTGCCAGCATACCACACACAGCGCGCGAGTGTCAGTTTACCGCCTCGAACCATGGATCATACCCTCGAGAGCTGAATTAATTACACAGATCCAAATGAGGTCTTAGAAAAACATGTCAATTTTATCATATTTATAGTAGCTTATGATGATGATTCTGATGTTATTTTGTTGTTATTGTTCTCTGCCGTTTTGAGTTTATTATTATTCAGAAGCTAAACACATTTGTTTACTTCTTATAATGTAAAAGCAGAAACATTGTGCCATGCGTAATGCATGCATAATGCTTGTAAGGCGATTATGTTTTGGAAAACAAAAGGTCTAACGAAAACTCGTTGCAAGTGTAGCCTCTCCCAATTCTTGATCAGGATAAGTCTCATTTCAAATTAAGTCAGTACAGGAGATAAACTAAATACAAACAATCGAGGGAAACTGAGACATGTATAAAATACAAATATATAGATTTTTTAAAATTCACCCAACTCTGCATTTCATTAATTACTTGCTGCTATAAGGCAATACAAGGAAAATCACAAAAACAATCAAGTCAAAGATTTAATGACGAAATTGAAGCTATTTAGAGACGTGGTTTTACCAATTTTACGTACCCGTTGAATGTGTAATAACAGTAAGGTATTTTAACCCAATGGCTTTGATGCAACGATTATAAACGACAAGCTCAAACTCTTAACCAAACAAGGATGTCGAGATAAAATCATTTTCCCTTATAAAAACAAAGGTAAAGAACATAATCTCCTCAGAATTTCCGGCAACATCAAAACTAATAACCCCGCTGCCTTCAGGATGCACAGCTGGTTTAAATGACTTTTATTTTCTCAGCCACAGAAGAATGCTTGGAAGGCTTTGAAAATATTACACACAGAACCAGAGATCCTGTCATAACGTCTTTATTTTTTTTTATTTTTTTTAGCTTTTAATGTGGACTGAAATCCACTTGTATAGTCTATTTCGTGATTATCTCTCCCCTGCTCATGTGTCTCGACTTGAGGCGACGGCTATTTGTAGCTCCAGACAGAAAATATAAATACTGAATGTCTGCATCCGCTCACAGCGAGCTTCTCAGACACAGAAAAATAAATGCCGTATTTCTTCCCCAATACAGGGACCAATTTATAATTAGATATATGCCACACTAATTGTGATACACATCATTTCTATTACAACATTATGGCTTTATTATTATTATTCCAAGCTATTTTGCCAATAACGATAGTTATTAACAATTATTGTAACGCAGTAGTAGGCCTAAATATGAAGTGGCCTACTGTGATAGCCTATTTGTAGAGTTGCAGTTAATATTGATTACAATATATTCATCTTGAGAGAGTAGGCTACTAATGGACCTTTAGGTAACAATGTTATCTTAAATCTAGAATAACGTGTGTGACAAATGTGAAACATTTGAATGCATAAAACTAATGCTATTGGATTATATTTAGTGTTAGGCCTATAGGCCTTCTCATTTGATCAATGTGAGATGTGATATATACCATTCCCTTTTCGCAACCTTTTTCGTCACGTCAGTCCCTTCTTCTTACCTTTATCCTGCCCTCTTTCTTTCCTTCCCTTGTCTGGCCTCTTCCTCCATTACTTCCTTTCTCATCCCCTTTGGTTTTGGTTAGGCTATTTAATACAGATATAGTCTAGGAGAGACGATACTAGCCTATACTGTAAATTGAATATTAAGAATATTTACAACATTATCAACGTGCTTCATTCAGCACATCCACTATTTGAGTGCTCACAATGATAGACATACACGTTTTGACTGACAGCTCTCGGCCAACGAATCTTAACGCATCACCGCACGTGCATGTCCCAATCAATTTCAACGTGAAAGCGCGAGAATAAGAAGCGCCTAATAGGCCTGCCTATATGTCACCTTGGTAGTAATAGTAAAGCAGTGTTTTGAAATGAGTTGGATATTACACCAAGTTGATAAGGCAATTTTTAATTCAGTAGCATAAGTAGTAGGCTACAAGAGGCGGTTAGATATTGGGGAATGTAATGAGTGATCAGACACCTGCAGGCCTACACCATACACCTGTCAGTGTTTGTGATGATAGATTGGCATTTTGCAGTTTGTCTTGAATAAAACTTGTAGCGCAGATATCTTGTTTGTTCACAATCTATTCTATACGATATGAATTCAATGCAAAATATATGTAAAGATAAAAACACATCACAATTTCAATGTAAAAGTTACTCTTTATTAAAAATATGTATTGTGTTTAAAAAAAATAAAACATATACAAACTGCTCGACTTGATCACAAGTATTGTAGGGTAACTTGGAGGGAAACACCCCCTTAATGGAAATGTCTATTTTCTGACAGAAAAAAAGCAAAGTTTTGGTAATATTTAGATATTTGCATATTGGCTATCCTTAGGCAAACACATTTTGAAGGGAAATAAGCGGGCAGAATTAAATAAAACTCAAAATCGTTTTGTTGGAGTGACTAAAAAAGTTGATGAGACATTACATTTTTAGTTGAGCAAGACTACTGGCATCCAGGGAAAGTGTTTACTTTTTTTTGTGACATAAAGTGGTTTCTGTGAGAATTACAGGAGGGGTTGTTTAACCCCAAGTTACCCTAAACAGCATGATTTGAAGGTCAAGTGATTCGAAAATTCACTAACAACATTTTCAACAAACCAACAACATAAATAGCCTATAATCTATACATCATCAACTGTATGTACACTGTATAGCACAAAAATGCTATTGTTTAATGGTAAATTACCATAGAACCTCAAAGCAACGAAATAAAGCCTACTCCTCCCCACAGGGTGCGTCGATTCCATACAAAAAAATCCAGATTATATAAAAAATACCATGCTCTGTGATTTTGTCGAAATATAAGGCAATGAAATAAAATGCATTTTGTTGGTACACAATAACTGTCAAAGTACACAAATGCCAACCCAGTGTTTTCATTCCATTTGCCACACCCCTCGAGTTCATTACGACAGCATGCTGTCTATTTTGAATGGGTGGTAAACGTCAGATCCTGGAGTAGCCAGCGCTGCAACTGCTGGGATGATCTGGTAAATGTATGAGCCCTTTTATGTAAATTTCAGAGCTGCGAAACTGTCTTTTCGATTACCATCTCAGTACAATCCACCACCATATGCCCTCAGGACATGCGCAGCGTATGAGTCAACATGGAACATCGACTGGGCGTGAAGTGGTAAGGAGACAGGTGGTCCTCTCACAATGTGTGGCATCAGCTGAGTGTAACTGGGCCACGGTAATGCACCAACGGTGGGAGAATCCTCTGCCCATTCCTGTCTCTTGAACGGTTTGCTGAGGATACTGTCTATGGCGAAGGAACTGGAGAACTTGGCACTGTTGGCTGGTGGTGTGGGTATTGTGGTGAGTTGCGCGTCCTCGTCGGTAGCATGGTCAGACAGGTCTTGCTCTTTGCCTGTCTTTTTGTTTATTCGCTTTCTCCTGCGTCGGAACACTCCGTCAGCGAAGGTGTACTCGCTGTGAGGATTCAGCATCCAGTAGTTGTCCTTTCCCCATGGTCTAGACGGGTCCCGGAGGATCTTCAGAAAACAGTCGTTCAGTGACAAGTTGTGGCGCACCGAATTCCTCCAACCGGTGTAGTTGCCCCGGAAAAAGGGAAACTTTTTCATCAGATAGTCATTGATCTCCGCCAGAGTCAGACGCCCCGACGTTGAGTCACGGATAGCCATGGCAATCAGTGCGATGTAAGAGTATGGAGGTTTTGGTCTCCGCGTGTACGGTTTGCCTTTGCCATCTGCGCCCGGTGTGACAGGTGGCGGGCTGTGCGCTACACAGTCCCCATCCGAACCCAACTCCTCCTCACCGGAGACAGGCGAGCGGACGCTGTTCTCGGCATCGCTGCACAGCTCAACAGATTTCACCTCATAGTGGTGGTTTCCACAGAATACTTCAAGTTTCATGTTGTCTGTTATTATTTCTCCTTTACTGCGAGTTTTCTATCCAAAGTTTGTCGGATGCCCAAGCAAAAACAGGCACGTCGTCAGAAGAGCTGAAGCCTCAGAGGAAAAGGTAAAGGTGTCAAAGCGCAGAACGCTTGCAGTCAAAATATCGTATAAGTACCCGATGAAGTCACCTTGATTATACCTTTGGGAGCACTAGAGCTCGTCTCACCTTCTGTCTGTCTGGTGAGCTGTTTATAGCAACAGGCTCACCTCAGGACCAACCCAACGAGGCGGGGCTTGATAATTACATGGATATTTTGGAACAACTGAATATCATGCACCCTCAATGTTTATGACACATCATAAATCACAACAGTCATGATCTATTTTTATTTCAATATTTGTTTGACAATGGAATTGCGTTGAATAGCCCTTTCACCCTCCCGTTTTCAGCATAACAAGACAAGTAGGAATAGGCTAAATTTCTTACCTGTGTAACTCGATCTCGCTGTGGAGGTAGACACCGCTGGAGTACTTCACCTGAGACAACAGGTGGCGTGCGTTTCCGTTCCATCCGTTCTGTCTCGCATGATACAATCATTATGGAGAGTTATACCTGATTTATCATCTTTTATAGCATATGAATTCTTTAAATACTTCAGTTTGGCCATTATATGTCTGCAGATACCTGGAATAATACCCTATTATATTAATTTGATACAAGCAGCCACCACTGATAAAAATGATATATATTTGAATAAAGATGCTATGCAGTGAATGTATTACATTACATAGCCAAAAGTATCTGGAAACCCCTTCAAATTAGTGGATTCGGCTATTTCAGCCACACCCATTGCTGACAGGTGTATAAAACCGAGCACACATCCATGCAATCTCCATAGCCAAACATTGGCAGCAGAATGGCCCATACTGAAGAGCTCAGTGACTTTTAACGTGGCACCGTCATAGGATGCCACCTTTCCAACAAGTCAGTTCATAAAATTTCTGCCCTGCTAGAGCTGCCCCGGTCAACTATAAGTGATGTTATTGTGAAGTGGAAATGTCTAGCAGCAACAACAATGCAGCCGCTAAGTGATAGGCCACACAAGCTCACAGAATGGGACCGCTTAGTCCTGAAGTGTGTAGTGCGTAAAAATAATTAGTCCTTGGTTGCAACACTCACTACCGAGTTCCAAACTGCATCTGGAGGCAACGTCAGCACAATAACTGTTCGTCGGGAGCTTCATGAAATGGAGCCACACACAAGCCTAAGATCACAATGCGCAATGCCAAGCGTCAGCTGGAGTGGTGCAGAGCTTGCCGCCATTGGACTCTTGAGCAGTGCCGCCACACGTTCTCTGGAGTGATGAATCACGCTTCACCATCTGGCAGTCCGACGGACGAATCTGGGTTTGGCAGATGCCAGGAGAACGCTACCTGCCCAAATGTAAGGTGCCAACTGTAAAGTTTGGTGGAGGAGGAATAATGGTCTGGGAGTGTTTTTCATGGTTCGGGCGAGGCCCCTTAGTTCCAGTTACGGGAAATCTTAATGTTACAGCATACAATTACATTCTAGACGATTCTATGCTTCCAAATTTGTGGCAACAGTTTGGGGAAGGCCCTTTCCTGTTTCAGCATGACAATGCCCCCGTGCACAAAGTGAGGTCCATACAGAAATGGTTTGTTGAGATTGGTGTGGAAGAACTTGACTGGCATGCACAGAGCCCTGACCTCAACCCCATCGAACTCTTTTGGGATGAATTGGAATGCCGACTGCGAGCCAGGCCTAGTCACCTAACATCAGTGCCCGACCTCACTAATGCTCTTGTGGCTGAATGGAAGTCCCCGCTGCAATGTTCCCACATCTAGTGGAAAGCCTTCCCAGAAGAGTGGAGGCTGTTATAGCAGCAAAGCACACTCCCTATAATCATCAGACTCAAACAGTCTGGTCATACCAGCCACAACCCTGCACAGCATGGATGACAGGACCTTCTCACATATGGCCCCTTAGCTCTGGAACACTCTACCTGTACATGTCAAGGAGGAAGCCTCAATTTCCTCATTTAAAACACAACTAAATGTTTGATTGCTTAATTTGCCTAAAGTCTATATTTTGCATTAGTAGGTAATGTTTTGATGTATTGTGATAACTTTTTCTACTTTTTCTAGTATTGATGCTGTTTTTTACTTTTGTAGTTTTATACCTTATGCACATTTGAGCGTGAGAAATGCGCTCTACAAATTAAATATTATTATTATTTTCCCACAGTTTCTTTACTCTTTGCATTCTCTATAAGTCTGTGAATGATAACAGCATCCTATCAAACACATGAAAGCTATCTCAGGTGTCAACCATGGGGTCATCTCATGTTACTGTAAAAGACTCCACTGATAACGAATGCTATTATGAATAGTGAACATTCAGTTTTCCTATGAAGGTGTGTGCGATTTCCATACTATGGTTAGTGTAGAGAGGAAATCACAAGGCGGGTATTATGGTCAGTGGGGGACTAATTGTGAATTCTTAGTGGTGAGTCTTGTTAAGTTGTTATGTCTTGAAGAAGAACATTCACACTAGTGAATGTCAGGGCGACAAAGAAAAAGTAAAAACAAATAGTCTCATTGTGCAAAGTGACGCTTTCAAGTGTTCTCATGATCCCACATTAACACACTTTGTTTTGGTGCAGCTGAAAGCATGTTCATGCCAACTTGAGCACACCCATAGAAGACCAATGTTGTTGTGTTGTTGAGTTTTTCTTTCCCAAACAGCATCAGCTAGACCAGGGATGGGCAACTTTGATCGGTGTGGGGGCCACAAAAAATCATAACTCATCATGACGGGCTGCAGTTGCTCGCGGGTCTGTGTACCCCCCTCATTCTGGCCATGGGGCGGAGAGGAAAAGGAGCTGTTTTACAGCACATTTCCTGCAATTTTGCTCATTTTGCCATAGGGTGGAGAGAAATGTTTGCAGTTTTCAATATGACACCTGAGTGAGACTGACTAACAAAATCAATGAGGAAAAACTGCTGATGCACGACCAAATTTCTAAATTGCACCGTGTGTATTTTACTATTCTAACTCGCAAGAGTAAGTTAAGACCCAGACTAAGTTCCTAAACAAAAATTATTAAATATCAGAGGGCCTTCAAAAGGCCGCCAGTTGGCCATCCCTGAGCTAGACTATTTACATGTGTATTCCTGTTCACCCTTGTTGCTGAGGGACTGACTGGCAGGCTGTTTTGATTAATCACTCATTTGTATTAATTAATTAATCTTTAAATAAATACCCTTGAGGGTTCTGATGACTTTAAGGAACAGGGAAGTTATGCAGATATAATACCAAGGTGACACTACAACTGTGAAAACAGAGCGTCTGGCTAGAAGCCATGATAGAACAGGTTTCTGGAAGATATGCAAAGAGCGAGCGAGGCAAGCCCAATGCTCGCTGGGTAAGCATTAATCTCAGAATCATGCACAGTTTAGCAAAAGAGAAGGAAGATCACACTGTTGGTTTTGTCACCGTGAAAAAGCATTTGTCTGTCTCTGTCTCTGGTGTTGTTTTCAGGGTTTGGTTAGGCCACCTAATCCAGGGGATGACCGCCAAAAGGTTAGCAAAACACTGGTTGTGAAACTGACTCACATCATGAAGATTTTGTATTGTTTATCATGGTACTGAACAATAGCCAGCCGCCGCATACTGTACACCCTAGAATATGACTGTATTTACTGTATGTAGCTGAACTGCCATGGATGTCTTGAGGATGCTGAATTCTATTGGTAGTGCTTCAAGAAAGAAAGTGTCGTTGGTTTGAGGTTGGAGATATGCTATGGCATATCAAAGGGCATGGCAGTTGATCACTCTATGCCCTATCAACCTCCTCCAACCTCTTCCAAAGGGACATAGCAGACTGAGGGCATGCTCTAGCAGAGCAGAGTTAACTTGACTTACAATGTGATTCCTCCTATGGCTAATGCCTATGCTATGAGTCTCCTTTAGCACCACCACACCTCAGCTCAGAATCCCCTGTTATGTTTACTCCAGATGTATGTGAAATATTCTCCTCCCCCGCACCACACGGCACGGGCCGCTGCCGGGTTCACGTGGCAGTCAGATAACCCATCGGTTGCCCTTTATTGTGCCCTGTATCGTTGGCACTCTATAACAGGAGTACAGCAGACACCTCCTGTGCCAATAGTTTTATTGGTTGGCAACCATCTCTCAAAGTAGACTCAATGACAACAGTGCATTTAAGTAAGGCAAAATTGAATGCATAGTTATGCAAATTAATACAATTCTCCCATTTCTTGTTGACATCATAAGGACCAACACATGCCCGCATGTTCTTCCAGACACAAAGCCCTCCCCCCTTTGTTTATGCAAGAAGCACTACAAATGTCAACGTGTGTGTGTGTCATAGTCTGTGTCCGTGTGTTTTCAGAGCAGATTCAGTGTGATAATCTGTTTGTGCTGTCTGTGATACCCAATCCTGTGTGAAGTCACTGTTTTTAAAGAGATTGTGTTGACTATAGGTTTCTGTAATCCAACCGCCTAAGGCTCAGGTGGTATGTATGATTTCTCGTCCTCACATGTAAAGGCTTGTGTTAGTGTGTGTTTATGTGGGTATTCACACCCCTTGACCTTTTCCACATTTTTTTGTGTTACATACAGCCTGAATTTAAAATGGATTAAATTAAGATGTTTTGTCACTGGCCTACACACAATACCCCATAATGTCAGAGTGAAATTGTGTTTTTAGAAATGTTTACAAATTAATAAAACATGAAAAGCTGAAATGTCTTGAGTCAGTAAGTAAGTATTCAACCCCTTTGTTATGGCAAGCCTAAATAAGTTCAGGAGTAAACATTTGCTTAACAAGTCGCATAATAAGTTGCATGGACTCACTCTGTGTGCAATAATAGTGTTTAGCATGATTTTTGAATGACTACCTCATCTCTGTACCACACATATATAATTATCTGCAAGGTCTCTCAGTTGAGCAGTGAATTTCAAACACAGA